AGTTCGATTCCCGCTCACGGCCAACACCGGTGACGATTATTTGAACCGGTCCTGTGCTTCCCCTAGGTCGACTCGGCCTCAAATGAGTACCTGGTGCGGCGTGTACACATCGCCACGAGGGGAGACAACGGCCTCCGGGCGCGGTGCTGGCCATCCACCCTCTCGTGTGCCGTGCTGGCCTTCATAGGTGCTCGCTAACATCACTTGCCCCAACAGTCTGTGCAGGCTATACGGGGGGTCTTTATCTTTGTCTTATTTTATAACAGCACGGGGAACGGTACTGCAGCGGTTAAGGCGCTGGGATGCGAACCCGGTGACCCGAGTTCGATTCCCGCTCACGGCCGCCAACACCGGTGACGATAAATCTGAACCGGTCCTGGGCCTCCACTTAAGTCAGCTCAGCCTAAAATGAGTACTTGATGCGGTGTGTAAACATCGCCACTGGGTAGACAAAGGCGGCCGGGCGTGGTGCTGGCCACCCACCCCCTCGTGTGCCATTCCGACCTTCGTAGTTGCTCGATAACAGCACTTGCCCCTACAGTCTATTCAGGATATGGGGGGGGGGGGGTGGATCTTTGTCTTTGTGTATAACATCACCATTATCATCAAGCCATCACCATTACGTCCAGCGTCGCCTCGGAGAAGCTTTGGCCAAGAAGAGGAATTTCCTTCCCCTCACAGGTCAGCACAGGGGGGGTAGGGGGGTGGTTTGCCTCGGGCATGCATTATTCATCGTCGTGGACACAGTAACTATGTAAGTGTACATACCGGCAAAGGCGCATCACTGCAATCGGTTTCTCGTGCCACTGCTTTGCAGAAAGGGCCCTCCCCTCCCTCGTCAACTTAGGAAGCGTTGTGTGTACTCTATGTGCGAAGGCCTTCTATATTTTGACCACCCACGTTGGTCAGATGTATTTTGGAAGGAGTGTGAGCACCCACACTTTACCCCACCACACGTGACCTACCGATTGATTGTGGGTGTGTGCATTTACACTGCTGGGTGGGATAGAGGCATTGGCGGTGGGGGAATGGGGGAGGTGGAATATTTTTTTTGCAATTGTTTCAACTGCCACTCCGGGAGATAGGACCGGCAAAAATCTCTAGATTACAAGTCATGTGTGCTAACCATCACACCACTGTGGTAGCATCATCTCTTTATATAGTTTAGATACATCACAGTTTAATGGAAGATAACAACTCTTTTTTTCGCAACCTTAGACGAAAAATCGAAATCTCAATTTTCTCCTCTGTTGAAAGTTGAAACAAGCTAACATGAAAATCGAGTTTTTTTGCATCTGAAACCTGATAGCGCTCTACGCTTCATAATTCGCTCACATAATCGCATTACCTTTAAGGGCTTATTAGATATGTTTTTAAGTGGCTGAAACAGTAATTTATGCAAATCACTCATAAATAATTGCGAACGGAATTATATTTTTTTTATATAGCTCAAGATAAAGTTTCTCCTAGCCCAATGTTAATTTTAGAAAGGACATCTTTAACGGTGTAATATTTACAATGCACCGAATGATGTTATGGGTGACTGCGCAATGCATGGCTCGTGTGGGTCCTTTTAAAATATCCGTGACTCCAATTTTTTTTTCATGTCAGCGTTTATTTATAATATATGTTTACACCATTCATCAGCATCGTCAAACCTCGCTTTAATTAACTTCAAATATTGCCCATTATCAATCACTATACGAGTAAATAACTGACAATTTGCCTATGTTTATAACCACGCAGGCAAGGGTCCATTGAGACCAATAAACTATTTTTGAAATCAAAACGTCTATGATTTAGGACCAATTTATCCCATTAATAGTACAGTATGTCTATAAACACTCGTTGATAGGCTGAAAACATCTTAAAATAAGAAAAAAAAATCAATGCAGGAACCTTTTTGAATGGGAGTTATACGACCCAGTGTAACTTTTCCGGATAAATATTTAAAATAAAGTAAGAAAAAAAAACAAGGTCTAAATATATCTCTGGAACCACAGCAGTGACATCGAACTGTTAGGAGGAAAATGCGCTTCTGCAGGACACGTTGTAAAGAAGGGATGGTCAGGGGGATGATGATGATGATGGCTTATGGTCAACAATACCGTAATTCCGAGGAATGAATGTAACGGAGATGGAGCGATTCACTCCACTAGCGTATACGGAGAGCTGCTTCGGAGGATTGTGAGCATTGCAGGATTGTGAGAGATGGCGACGGCGTGCCGAAGCCATTGGTCCAGCAGTGGATTGACCATGGCTGATTGTGATACATTTTTTTATGAAATGAACAATCGAATCCACAACATAAGCGTCACTCTGGCGAACTACCGACGACAGGAGCACGCCACGGCCATTCGCATGTCTCTGTTGACTGTATCATCCATGGGCGAAAGGCGGGTTGCCCTGGAAAGAACCAACGGGCAACGAGTGGCTAGCACGCAGCACCGCCTTCAGGCGTCTCGACACTGAATGCAGAGCAGCGAGCGAGGCTGAATCGCTCCCCCACAATCGAGTGCGATGACCTGCAGCGGCATCGACAATGCGCTAAACCCGCCGTGCAAAAACCCAGCGAACCCGCGAACACACAAGTAATGTAAGACGGTGGCGTCGTCGTCATCACCACCAGCCATGCTCGATCCACTGCTGGACCAACGCCTCCCCCAGTCCGAACGCCACCTCGCACGATCCTGCGGTGTATTGTTTTAATCCGATGTCATCGTTCCATCTCCACCGCTGGACGTCCCCCCCCCCCAGTCTGTCGGACGCGTTACAGTTCACAATGCGATGAAAGTCTAAGCACTGTTTTATTTTCTTCTTCTTCTCACGAGGGTGCCATCGACATTGCGATGGGATTTATTTTTGGTCCGTGAACACCACGAACGATGTGCTTTGACTCCGTGCGCGAGGAAACCGGAGACGCCGAATAAAAACCCAGCCGCGCGTACGAGGGGTGGTGTGCTATTCAGCATTGCCAACTCCTGACCAACAACATCTCGCAGCCTCCACGCCTACAACACCTGGGCAAGCACCTGCTGGTGGTCACCCTTCTAAGTGCCAACCACGCTCAGGGGATCTTGGCTCCCCGCGTGACGCTTGACGGATGAACAAACGCAATGACTCGCGCGCGTTGGTCTGCGCTGTGCGCGTGCTGACGCAGCGAAGCGGTTGGCGCAAACGAACCCGGTCGCACGAGTTCGATGCCGGCTCACGGTCAACAGCAGAGATGATTTTCTGATCATCCCTCGAGGTCGACTCAGCCTTCAAATGAGCACCTGGTGCGATGCGTACAACATCGCCACTCAGGAGACAAAGGCGTCCGGGCGTGGTGCTGGCCACACTCCCCCCCCCCTCGCGTTTCTTAGCGGCCTCCATAGGCGCTCGCTAACAGCACTTGCCCCCAGCAGTCTGTTAAAGGCGACAACGGGATATCTTTTGTCGTTGTGCTTGCGTAGCACGCACACGCAGGTGCGTGCGATATACCGACAACGCGTTCTCGGCACGTGTGCGGGACGCCCGCAGTAGTATGCACATCGCACACAAAAATCTGTGCGCGATGTTTGTTTGTTGTTGTTGTCTTCTCATTGCTTGATCTCCATCTCTTGCGTACGTGCGCACACGTGTGAGTGTTTACATGCGTGCGCGTGTGTGCGGGAAGCCGTGGCGTAGTGGGCTTGCACGAGTACTGTACTGTCTTGTAAAGTAATACCTCATTGGTGCGGTGTGTAAACAAACAGAAAAACATCGCCACTGGGGAGACAAATACGGCCGGGCATGGCGCAGGTCAACAACAACAATAACCCCCTTCGTACGCAGTTCGGGCCTACATCGGTTCTCACCACTTGTCCTAACGGCCTGCGTAGGTTATATGGGGAGCTTTGCTTACTCGCGAGCATGCTTCAGTATAGAAGGTGTGTGTGTTTGGTTGCTTGTCTGCGCATGTGTTTGCGTGCGCTTGCTTACGTGTGTGTGTGTGTGTTCGCGTACGTGCATGTGTACGTGTGCGCACTTGGGTATGGATGGGCTTGCAAACGCGCTCGCGTACACGTGTGTGTATGTGCCTGCGTAAACGTATTTGTATGCGTGTGCTTGCGTCCGCGTGTTTGTTCGCATACACGTGTATCTGCGTAAACGTGTGTATCTGCTTACACGTGTCTACGTACACGTGTCTGTGTCTGCGTACACGTGTCTGTGTGTATGTGTGTGCGAGCTGCGTCCGAGCAATGCGCTCCATCTCCTTACCGTGCGGGAACGCCACGGCGCAGAGGCTGCTGCACAGGAGTAGGAGCCGCATCCTGCCGATCATCCCGAGCCACTCTTGCGCATAACTCTCCTCAGCCCCGGCGTGTGCGTGCTGCGTCTCCTTACCCCTCCTGTGCTTGAGTGAGTGAGTCTGCGTGAGTGAGTGCCGCGCTCTGTCCCACTCACACGCCACTGGCCCGACGTGCCTCTGCGTACCGCGCCTTTCCCTTATATACGCCAAGTCTCAACAGCGAACGGAGCTTGAATCGTTGCGCGGATGCTCCTCGCTCGTCGCTATTCCAGCGCCATCTCTCGCTTAATTCGCTCGCCTCGTTCGCCGCTATCCGATCTACACCAACGCCGACTGCGCACCCCTCCAAGCCCGTTCGTTCGCTTTCTCTCACCAACTCACCCGCCCGCCCGCTCGCTCGCTCGCTCGTTCGCCTGTCTAGCTCCCACCACCGCACCCCCCCCCCCCAAAAAAAATCTCACGCGCGGGACGATGAATAATTTGGAACGTCGGGGTACGGCTGTGAAACGGTCGCTACCGAGAGCACTGCACTGATCACGCACCGCTGATCCCCCCCTATCCGACGAGCCCTGTGCTGTTTCTCGCACCAGGCGACGTGCCTGGGTGCTGGTGCTGCTGCTGTTGCGGCGCCGAGCGGACGGACGGTGTAGGGAGGGAGGGAGTGGATGAGTCGTTTTGTTGGTGTCGATTCTCAATTCCAGCGGCACGAGGAGCGAACCAAACGGCGGAGCGGCGTGGGGAAGTGCTCGGTGTTGGCAGTCCGAGGATTACACGCGTCATCGGAGTTTCATGGTTTGTTGTGAGGTTTTTTTTTAAGATCTTTATTTTTTTTTTACTCCAACAGATGCCAGTATTTTTTTTTTATAAAATACACATATAAATACGCAAATAAAGCCACACCCACCCAAAGTATGATGATACACTTAATCACGTACACATAGGGCGCACTTAATCAATACTGACAACGTGCTTTTGTTTGGGTAAACAAATAATGAATAATTATGCGCTTGACATTTTTGCAAATGCCCTCGCTAATCACACCGCGAGCACCTGCCGTGGTGCCATTCCCGTTTAACCCAAGAAGTCGTTTCCCACGCGCGCGTCTGCGCATGGATACCGTTTGTATAGTTTGCTGCGTCTCTGAGCTAAAATGCGCACTGTGTGTATATATACACGATAGTCAGGGTTTTATTTCGAAATCCGTAATTTCATGAACGTTTCTAAGGGCTGGCTTGTAGTAGGGATTGTCGGCGTAAGGCACTACCACTCGAGTATGCGTATCCATGGGGAAAAAAACACTATACTGCATTATTGCACCCAATATTCACGTAGTCATCTGACCAGATGCGGCAGGGTGGTGCTGTGGTAACACTCGTAGGCTCGCAGCAAGAAGCGCCTGGGTTTCATTCTCCACTCGGGCGCGTTTCTGTGTGGAGTTTGCAGATCCTCCCCCCTCTGTCCTGCGTGGGTTCCCTCTGGGTTCCCCGGTTTCAACCCAAAACAAAACAACAACATGCAATGTAAACTGAAATTGGACTAGCATCTTAATGCTGAAAACGTTCCTGCAAATTAGTCGATTTGGATCACTCGCAACAACATCGCTCCTCTACTGCGAAAAAAAAAACTTGCCGGGACCCTCCGGAAAAAAAGAGTCGCGAGACTTAGCGAGCCTTTTGCTGGACAAACGGGCGCAGCAGCAACAACAGCAACAATTACCACCAACATTCGTATTCAAAAGTCACATAAGTGGAACAAAAATAAGTGCGAAGAACAGCTTCCAGACCGTTGCGTTGGTGAGGCTGATGGTACCCAGCGCATCGGGGGCTGCCTGGGATGATAAACAGTTGGACTCGGCCGTTCCGACACACGGCTCTGGGACTCCCTCGTTGCTCCTTTGCTCTCAGCCGTCTTTGTGCCCATTGGGGAGTGCAACATTTTGACGCTCCAGTGATAATTAACGCATTAATATCCAATTAGAGGAGCTGCCAGAGCGATGGGGGGGGGGGGCGAGTGACGGTGGTGCGGGGCGCGGTGTAAGCCTCGCTTGTCACTCGTATCTAAATGGCCGTATGATACATCTCACGCGCGCTTAATCATATGTGCCTCCTCCTCCAAGGCGGCCCTATGGCTCGATAATAATCCGTTTAACTCGTGACACCGCCGTCGACGCCGCTGCGACACAGAGAGAAGGGGGGGGGCGACGACTCAGAAGCGCCAGGATGAACCACAGACGGCGGTGGTTCAGCGCGAACAATTCCCGCAAGCTCTGCGGTCCTCTATATATGAAGGTGTTTTCGGCCAGTTGTATCGACTGTGACGTCGCCTGACTGCGTAGGCTGTCCGTGGCGTGTGCGGGGAGTTGTAATCCGACGTGTGAATTATTAAGCGCACATGGTGAGCTCCCGCCAATGGATGAGCGTTCAATCGACGCTATCGGATTTAGATATATATATACATACATTAAACCAGGCGAGGAACATTCGCTTCAAATGAACATCGACGGACCCTAGGTGAATGCCTTGACGGTGTAAGATTTGTCGTAATCTTTCACAACAACCGCCACCCCACCCTGACACCTCCGGGCAATTCTATCGATCGCCGGGATTCAGGCAGGGTTCAAGAATTGATTATTTTGGTTGTGAACTTTGCGTTTGCTGCAGCGACCCCTATCGGCCGCGGGGAGTCACGTGAAACCCATGACTACCGTGCACGTAAAATGTGCTATACCAGGGGTCGGCAACCAAAATAACAAGAAGAGCCATTTCTTTCCAATTCGGTACAAAATTCAGTATTTCAAGAGCCGCAATGCATCTGAGTACATACTGTACATATCGTCAAGAAGCAGCCCGTAAAGAGCCGCATGCGGCTCCGGAGCCGTAGGTTGCCGACCCCTGTGCTAGACATTGAACGATAACCGCCGGTCGCTGCGAAGTGGCGGTGACGTCGCCACGGCGTTTGTGCCAGGCTAGGTGCACTTCGAGGCCACGTGACGTGTGGAAGGCTCGCTGACAGGCGGTCACGGGACAGACCCAGCAGGTGAAAGTAGTTGACCGGGATGACTGGCGAATGCGTCACCAATTTCGAAAAGCATGAGGTTCTTAAACGTTAAGGTTGATGCATGCAACTGTTGAGCTTACGATTCGACGACAATCGATGCATCGTTAAAGCCATCGTGCTTGGCATGGTACTTAAAGCGGCTGTCCATAGGATCGTTCCCTTCGGATATGTGAGTAGATCTGTGAAGGGGGACACATGGAGTCTCTTGAATTTCACGGGATTTGATTTTCTTCTTCAACTTGACACTAAACGAGTGACGCATGCTGACTTTAAGGGCTTTCCAACTCTGCCACCTCGAATGGGCCTATAAACGTGGCCGGCTCCCGAAGACCTTAATGGATTCGTAAACTTTTACGACGAAAATGTTTTGGGAAGAGCCTTAATGAACTTTCCTTGACACGACCCTAAATAAGGTTTACGAGGTAATCGTGCAAGACGCGGGACTTGAGTCGTTTTCTTTTCTTCCCCCGAACTGGCACATTAGTTAATGGCGCCCTAACGCTGTCTAATGCATAATAATAACAAAAAAAACGCACCGGCCAACCAATTTCTGAGCTGAAATTGCAAGCGTGTAGAGCCACAATGGGAGCTATTACATTAGTGATAATCGTCAGCTCACATGCAAGTCTTGAATTCATCAACGTCCAAAGAACTGACATCGGAGCTACGCGTAACATATAATAATAATATGACCTAACGGTGGCAATAATGGATCTGGGTTTTTGTGCGCATTCTTTATATACCTCCCCCACTTAGCCAAAATGGTGCATTATTAGGTGCACATGCCTGCGATAGGGGGACATGTAATGCGCCTTAATTTGTGCGGTGCCTCTGCAATGTCTGTGCATAGCCTTGTTTTTTTGGACGCATTTTTACTCCGATTTCGCCATTTGCGTCGTGTCGCGAGACGAAGGGGCCCGATCGATGCGGCCGTATTGGGTCCTCGTCGATCCGCCACTCTTTAGCGGACCGGTGACGACTGTTCATGCCGAGAAAACGCCTCAACTCTGCCATTTGCAATTCACATCGGGGCCATTTCACTCCCCCACCCACAGCCACCCCCCTCACCATGGCCATCGTTGTTGTTGAGTAGCTCGAGGCGCCGCGTCTGCAAGCGAGAGGTGCAGTGACAGTCGATCGATCGAACAAAGACGGCCACCGCATCGCGCGGCGCTTTCAGATGCGTTTCTGCGGCCGTCTGGAACGCTCTTCCTTCCGATTCCAGGAAGCCACTGGGAGCGATGCACTTGGGATTCTAGTGTGAAATCTCATTTCTTTAGAACTGCCTTTTGTGTTTAGTTTGTTGTAGCCTCCCAATTAGCGTGGTTGCCCACGTACGATGCGAAAGAAGTTCAACATACATACGTGCACGGATTCAAGCTGTCTTTAGCTTGGCACTACAACTCCTTCCGTGGGAGACGGACCGAGCCCGATCTGGTCGCCTCATTCCGTCGGTGGGGTTAGCTTGCCGAGCCAGACATACAAAAAACAAAAACCTCGTCTCACGGCCGAGAGCCACATGCAGACTCGTCAGGTCATGCGTGGGTGGTCACTTTGGGGTAAGCTCTCCGTGGACCATCCCCCCCCCCCCCCACACACACTCAGCGCGAGAATGTGTAGTTTACTCACTTTTATTAACTTTACTTACGAGCAAAAGAGAATTGACTGAGACGTGTGGCTCATTTGCAAGACTGAGAAGGGGAAATATGCATGCTGCAGAATATCATCCTAAGTGAGACTCTCATTAAAAGTTTTAATGTTAAAAAGTGAGACTTTCTTGCTTGGGAGGCGGAGGGGGGCGAGAAAGAAATGACAAAACAATCTCAGGTGATTAAATAAAAAGGTACACTTAATCGATACCGCACGTACAGAACATAGCACACAGTCGCCGCACGCCGTGAGGTAATCTAAAAGCAAAGCAAAAAATGTGGACATATCTTCGTTTGCCGATAAATCAGGTTGCCGCCACACTGCAACCACAACAATAAATGCGCTTGCCTTTCCTGAGACGGGTAGGCCTCTGAACGGGGCCACGTGGCTGAGCGACGTGGTTCTCTTTGTGGCTCTGCTCGAGAGTAAATTCCAAGCGGAACTTTTGACGCTCGACATTTTTTAAATTAACGTCACTTATTTTTTTCCGGTCCAAATTACACGAGACCATAATGGGGTTTAACAAATTTGATCGTTAATTAGATTTTCAAGTGAGATTTTTTATTTCCCTTTCCTCGTGCCCCCATTGCATTTTAATAACGGTGACTTTACCCACTTTTGTCGAGTTGTTTCTTTTAAGAACGAACTAAGAAACACAAATTATTGTTCCAATATTTGTGATATATTTACAATATTGGCGGGGGGTTTCTGTGTGTGTGCTGGTGACCCCTGGTGTATGTTGAGGGCACTTGGTGGGAACATTTGAGAAAGTGTCTATTTGGCAAGCATGATTGCTGGTGAGACACAAAAATGTAAAACCAAATAAAAACATTCTGATTAAGCAAATGCTTGTGGGCAACATGAGTTTGGAGGGCTAATGGGGCGACAGAATAAACAAAAATGGTTCACTTTTATGCAGGCGTGTGGAAGAAAAGGTAATTTATCTCATTTATAATTTAAGCAAGATGATTTGCTTTTAACATGCAAAGCTCATTTTAAATGCCCAGGTTTATTGTACAAAGAAATGAGTATGTCTGTTATGATTCACATAAGAGTGAATCATAACAGATATACCCCTACACAAC